TCATTACTTGATGAGCCTTGTGAGTCCCCACCTGGTGAGATCCCCAGCCTACCTCCACTCCCAAAATTCCCCACATGACCTACCGCGGAGAGGATTAAAGCAATACTTAGCGATGACATCATTTCCACTAAGGACGGTGGTCATCGGAGGTATCTGGTTCAATGGGAAGGAAAGCCGGAGACGGAAAACATGTGGATCGACCGAGATGAGCTACAGAGACTAGACCCTGACTTACTAAAGTGGTACGAGAGCTCTATATATGCTTACTCGACCGGGTCGAGTTTTCTCCCACCTGGGGAGAATGATGAGGACATCGTCAGAGATTGCGACACATGTACCATCAGGAGATGCCGGAGATCGACGACCACGATCATGATCTTTATTTTCATCATTTTATGTAGTAGTTTATTTGATTTTTATGTTTTTCCGTTTTTGCCCTTATGGGTATTTGGTCGTTATTGTAGCCCGAAGGGCATTTTAGTCTTTTGCTTTCTTGTCATTTTGAGGCCTATTTATATTTCCTTTTCTTATGTAATAGTTTTAGTTTTTGATGAATGAAGAATATTTGCCACTTATGATCTCTTTGTGAGTTCACCCTCCTCGATCTCTTAGTGAGTTCGTAGGAGAAGCTAGATCTCTTTGTGAGTTCTAGATCTTCTTGTTCTACCATTTTTCTTCCTTTATTTCTTGTGATCCATTCGTCGTCGTGGAGATTCGGGTTGAAAGCATTTGTGAAGAGTGGAATTCACGCTTGAATCCAAAGATTTTCCCTTACTGATTTCCCTCTCTTGCTCCTTGCCGCCGCCCACTCCAAGCTGTCCAAAACCGCCAGCCACCCTGCCTCCAATTTCTGCCGGCTAGATCAGCCACCGCCGGCCAGCCACCAACCTCCCTCCGGCCAGCCCCTTTCCCCCACCGGCCAACCCAGCAGCCCTCTCCCACCGCCTCTTTCCCCCTTGACTTCCTATGGTTTGAATTTCAAATTTCGTTTAAACACTTTTCTAATTGGCTCCCTTTCATTATGGGATCTCATTAATGAAATTAAATCCTAATTTGAATTTCAAATTAGATCTTCCTCTCATTTTAAATTGTGGGAAGTTACCTAAGTCACAATTAAATCTGAAATAAAATTCAGATTTAATTGAATTTCTTACTTAAACTTGGGCCCCACTCTCATAACTCCCAAACCTCCCTCTCCTCCTCATATGGCCGGCCACTCTTAGTGTAACATCAGATCTGCTCCAGGATCATCCGGGCCGATCGAGATCGTCCCGGGACGATCAGTTCACAATTTGTTCCAGATTCTGTACAGAAGTTACAGGAATGATTTCCTGTAGGGATCGTCCGGGCAGATCAGGGATCGTCCCGGGACGATCAGTTCATGGCAAAAGTCAGAGAGCAAATCGTCCAGGAAATTAATTATCGTCCTGAGAAATCGTCCCAGGCCGATTGGATTTTGGTCAGATCGTCCAGCACGATCGTGCGATCGGTCAGGCCGATCAGAAGGTTATTTAACGAAAATCAGTCGTTTTGAAGAGAGAATTTTGGTTATCTTTTGCAAGACTCTTGTAATTCTTAAATGTAATCACTGCCGTTAACATAATCTATCACGAAGTTTCTTGAATCCAACTTGAGTAAGCTAGATTTTATCGTTAACATTGCAAAGTTAAACTCTCATTAATCTCTAACGTGCAATTCATGTTTCACCGCATGTTGTATCACATCAAATTAATATAATCAAATTCGAAGATTTGCAGGATTGACATTATGAGTGCGAGCCCTAAAATCCCATTTTTTACAAAAGAAAAAATATGTTGAGTGAACTCTAAATCATATCAACACATTATACCTATCTTCATTGGTTGCTCTCGCCCCACATGACATATTGCTACTAGTGCTCGCAACTCGCCACATGATATCTTAGACATGTCTCGACAACCCTCGCTCATGCTCAATCGGTTGCTAGCTATGTTCATCGCAGCTAACTCAAACGCAGAAGGTTGTCACGCTCTCGATCCTGTTGAATCCCCATGCTCTTGCTGCATGCTACCTAGCATTTGGTCTCCCTTCACTAGGCCTTTTGCTCTTCGCTCACATGATCTCAAGCTCCATCCTTGTTTTCATGCTGACCATCTCTGGTATTTCCCAATGGAATCTCATCCCCACCTTCCTTTGTGGATCCTGACTTCCATTTCACTTCGTGGGGCTTCCCCTCAAGCTTTGCCTCCTTTTCCAGTGACGGTTGCTAGGACATTGTAGATTTACTTCACACCTCTTCTCTCCTACTGTCCCCTCATGCTAAGCTCAAGTCTTCCTCTACCTATCAGGATGAACTTGCTCTAATTTTCTGAAGTTAGAAATTGCAGATTTGGTAGTTCCATACTCCCACATAAGTCTGCCCAAGTTTAGAAATTCTTCTCACTTTCATGTTAGATATACACCTTCATTGATGATTTCTCTATTAAACTTCTTGATCGTTGCCACTAATAAAAAAACTAGCATTGTAAGTACATTATTTAAGACTTCTCTCTCCTCAATCGTATTATGAGAATAGTCTCCCTATGCATATGCTAAAGTGGTCTCCACACTTTGATATCTATAAGGAGCCTTCCATTATCTAAATATGAGTTATTTTCCCTCATATTTGTGTTCACTTCATCAGTCAATTTACACTTTACTCAATGAGATCACCACCAGACTCTCTCGTCTATCTATGACCCATGCTCTGGTCAAAATCAATTTTTATGCCCCTTTGACTAGGGAGATTTGGATCGCACTCCTATATGGTTATTCAAAAAAATTGGAATTTAAGGGTTTGTCATCTTATTGTCAATGTCGCAAAATCTTTTATCATAAAAATGTTGTTTTCTTTAAGCCAATCCAAGCTTCTTTCTCAAGAGGGAAAGAAATGTCTAATTAAACCAAAACTCTATACACTGCCAACTTGGAAAGCCTAATAGTAGCAACGTCCATCTAAAAAGTGGTTTGTCAAAAATTAAACCAAAGAGTACAAATTGAAATGATTAAAATAGTTAATCCAAAGATATGAAAATAAACTCAAACTGGAGTGATAGGAGATTTCTATAAAACATTCAAAATAAGATGTCTGTTAAGCATATAAATTAGGAACCCATTCACATAATATGTTCTCCGAGAGAAGACCTTGAATAGTTTAATTCTAAAGATGGCTTAGCGAGAACATGATGAGAATCGATAACAACCCAATTTCAATCCCCAGCCAAACATAAAACTACGAACCTTAATACTAAGATGATACTGCAAAAACATGCCAATAATAGAGAGAAATAGGGCAAAGCCACCTCAGAGATCTCCTCATCAAACAAAATGAAAGTTGATTTTTCTAGAGAGAAAGATTACTTGTGATGAGTAGTTTTAGGCCAGATTAAAAATGATTGGGAGAGTCGAGCCAAGGTACATGACCCTTCTCAACTGCCTAATAGCCTCAAAAAATGATCAGGGAGCACAAGGCAATGGAGATCGCACAAAGAAAAGCCCCAAGAGCTAGAGTAACCAAAGGAGAAGCATCAGAATGTGGTCAAACTAAGGGAGCAATCAGAGAAATATATATAATGCATGCTGACGGAAGATTTGAGGATAAAAGGAACAAGGATTGAACACACAAAGTAGAGGAGAAGAAGTTGAGCAAAGGAGAGCCAAACCTAAAAAGGGAACGACTATAAGTGCCAAGACCGAAGTTGGTATATGCACCAACACCAAGGGGGTAATGCCCCTTAACGGAACCTCAAGTGTCAAGCACATTGAGCCGGTGCAAGCTAAGGCAGAACAAAAACCTGGATGTCATATCCACAACAACGATGAAACATGAATAGATGGCGTGACCCCAAGCACAATCAGAAGAGGTGAGCTCGCAAACACAAAGGCCATGCCACAAGTGCACAAGAAGCACAAGCACATAGATAGCACCCAAGCAGCACCACAAGCACGCGGGAGCAATGATTGTGCACAAGGACTAAGGGCGAGGGAGGTAACGAGCTTGCACAAGTTTGGCCGAGTACAACAGAAGCAACGTCGAAGATAGAGTACAATCCAATATTTGATAAACTATATTAGATATTTTAAAGGTAAATGATGTTATCCCTCACTTTGAATAACTAAACTGCATAGTTAGGATAACATAATACAAAGTTTCCTTCATGGGAATTCCTTCAATACTTTAAAAAAAAAAAAAACATTGTTTTTGGTATGTCAAAAGTTTTTTTTTTTTTTTGAGTCAACAGATATATCACTAATATATAATGATGAATTAATATCACTTCAAAGAGTTCCAAGCCACTCAAAAAAGGGCACAATAATCATAAACATCTAAAGTAATTTTCAAGCAAAGTAGAAAACTGAAACAACATTATGCATTTCTCCTATTAAAACTTATCAGAACAACTTCATATTTGTGATGTACAAAAGCTAAGCTATGTCTAACCATGCTTATGCTCATGGCTGTGATGCTGATGATGATGTTCATCATGGTGATCATGATCATGTTGCTTATGTTCATGGTCATGTTCCTTATGATCTTCTTTTGAACCTTCCGAACGAACAGTGCTCTCTATCCTATGAAATCGTGAAAAAAAAGATAGATTACATTAAAGAAAGAAATGAAGCTTGTAACCCCAAAAAAAATTAAAGAGAAAACCAATAAGACTCTTGCCTAATTAAACACATCTAACAATGAACCTGGGATGATACATATAAAAACTGGCAGATATCTAGAAATCTGATTTCCACTAATAAAGATAACTATAGTCATGAGTGACATAACAAAAGCTAGGAAATATAACTTGACCCAGCCTCTTTTGGGAGACAAATGGCCGCTGAAAGTCAAACCACTAGGAAACTAGGAAAAATTTAGCCATAGGTACCTACAGTGTGTGGCTGAGCATGAAAAGACGGAAAAATCACTTAAATGGATGATTATGAAAGGCTATGTCCAAGATCAGAAGACTCGTTAGAAAGGAAAATCATACCATCTTTCTCAAATGCTAAGCAACAAAATCAGTTCAAACAGATTTGAAATGAAAAATTAATAACTAGCTCCTAGGACTATTTAGTGTATGTATATATGTATAATTAAATTTCAAAAGGCCCCCCTGACTATTCGCAAGTGGCCAATATAATCCCAGAGTATTACATTTCTCCATTTTAGTCTTTCAATTATAAAAAAATGATTTCAATTTATTCCGCCCCCATCAATCAGTGGGCTTTGGCGCCTATATATTGGCAATCCATGGAATGAAGGATGCCAAATATGCCTAATAGCAAGTGTGCAGCTGACTTCTTTCATTTAATGTTGTAAGTTCCTCCTGCAACCTTTCTTGAGTTCAGCCATCAAGTCCACCCTTCACCATAAGGATCAATCCTTTGTTGTGGTCCCAACTATTCTCTTCCCAAATCAGCTATCTCCTCATAACCAATCAGATTTAGTTATTCAGAACACACAGATTGAATGATTCATGATTGATGTCGTCAGACTGTTACCAATGTCCCACAGATTCACCCTACAACAATTGGCCCTTATGAGGTGTTTTGTTTCCTGTTTTGCATGTAATTAAGTGTGCTTTAATGGTTTTCCTTCGGGATGACTCTCATTATAGCCTATGTAACTCCTACTGCGAGTGCAAACATACAACAACAAAAATTACAGCAAATTTGACTTATGTTCCTCACTTCTTTTTCATTCTTTACAGTATCAGAGTAGGAAAATTATCCTTAGATTGTTTTTCTTCTTGCCATAGGTGTTGCTCAAATCCTAGGTTACAATTTGCCTCTTCATTACTCCTTCAAAAAATGTCCAAAGTTATATTAAATCCTCCTCCTTCATTCGAACATCAATCAATTCAAAGCTCACATGAAAGTCATCACATTCAAATCACCACCATCTAATTGAATGATGATAACTTCCTTCGTTAGTTTCAACCGGTTTGATTGTGCATCAGGATGAGAGGAAAGATCAGTTAAATCATTAGACACACAAAGAAGCCGACGTGAGGGACTCAACTTATGTCGTTTGGGTTAAATCATTGGAGACACAAATATTGGTTAAATTATCTCTGCTATTCCACTACCGAAGAGTTGTTAGATAACATCTAAAAAATGTACTCTAATTTGGAAAATCAATCCCAAGTATGAATTAATCCTGCGACTTTGGGAAATTTGCCAAGGTGAGTATTCAATAACAAGATATATTAATTTTTTTAAAGGATTTGGGAAGACTTAGACTTGTTTAATGATTATGACTGGAAGTCAACCAAAGACTTCAATTATTATAAAATGATAGTAGACATTGGTCACATTTTTAAGAGTTTTGCCTGTTTAAACATTGAGTATGATGAAGCTTATGATATATGGGAAGTTTTCGCGGAGGTGCGAAGAGAAAAAAGTTATGGACATGTGATACTTGGAAAAAGAGCTAATGGGATTAATAATCTAATTGAAGGCTCTGCATTAGCTATTCCTAAAGCACTAATTAATCACAAGACATCCAAATCAATTCAATTGAGAACAAAAATAACTTGCAATATGACTAGTGTGGGAAACCTCATCATATAAGACATATTACAAATTACACAACAAGCCCCCAGTGGCAAATCTACCAAACCTATCAAACAAAATACTCCTACACAACATTAAGTTGAATCATCTCCATTTAACAAAGAGCGGATAAATATTCTTAAACTGCTAAAATCTCATTCCTCATATAATACTCCTGTTAATTATGTGACACAAGTAGAGATTTTTTGGCACTTTCTATTCTTAAAAAATTAATCTTAGACTTATGGATTCAAGATAATCTAATCATATGATCAGTAACTCATTTTTTAGTTTTTATCTCCCATGTCCTAGTTCTGAAAAGATCAAAATTGATGATGGAAATTTATAATCCATTGCTAGCAAAGGATACATCAAAATATTATCCTGAATAATGTTTTAAAAGTACCCAAACTTGTAGCCTTCTTTCCATTGGAAAGCTTTATAAAGAAACATGATGGTTGATTAGAGGTGGAGAAATTAAAACTCAAAGGCAAGGTGGAGAAAGAAAGAATTAGACTAAAAAAATAAATGGAGCTTCAATTAATAATGTTTTTTTTAGTTTTTCCTAAAAAAGTAGCGCCTTATTTTAAAAAGGACAACATAACCGGTCTTGTCTCCATGTGGAATTTTCCACCACAATTGGCTTCGAAGATATCCTTGAATGAAATCTCTAGAAACGATGGAAAAAAAACATATGATCTAGCTCTCACTCTGCAGAAGAATATTATGGTTGAATCAATGATAAACAAAACCAACTTAACAAAAATAGTAATATACCTTTGCATTGCCTATGCCCTGATAGAAAATATATGACGATTGAAGTAATAATAAACAAACTCTTCAAGGGAAAAAGAGCAATATACACATACATTTATAGAAAAGAATGAATTATTCAAATAAATCACTTGGTTAAATTTGCTGAATGAAATAGCCAGCCTTATGAGGCATCTTTTGGTCATAACTCTTAAGCACTCGATTTGAAAATAAACAGTTCTAACAAATCAATTGACAAATAAAGGCAGCCATGATGGAAACTGAACATCCTAGAAAACGTTTTACTTGAATTGCTAAATTATGAAAACTCATAAAACCATCAACTTCAATTTACAATTCCTATAAAATTTGACTATTCACTTCTTAAAGCATATCTCAAGGAATAAAAATAACTACATCAGCGAGAAGTCATTTATTCCTTGAGCCAAGTGAATCGATCTAAAATAATCAGTAATCCCGTATTCCAACAAAAAATTCCTTATATTCCATATTGGGTAATATCTGTTTGATATAAGCAAATGCAGGACAGATTTTCTTGGCATTTAGACAATGTGAATATGCTAAAATATACCAAGTTCGTATTTCTTTAGAACAAAGAATTTAAGAGATCTCAAAACTTTACAATCCATAAAGCAGCCCAAAAGCAGAGAAGGTTGAGGAATATAAGGAGAAGTACCTTTCCAAGTCAAAGCCTCCGATGCCAAGAACATAATCCAAATCAACTTTACCATATGAAGTACGCTTCAAATGAGCCATGGTATTGATATTCTGTTTTTATCGTTAAGGAAATAAAAAACTTATAAATTCAATAGGTGCCCATATGATAAGAGCTCTAAGTTGATCTACATACCCTTATTCTCTTGATTAAGGAAGAGATCTCTGGCTCGCTCACAAGGTCAGTCTGTGACAATCAAAAGTCATTTGAGGCAGGTTAAGTACAAATTATGCAATGACATTTTAACGACCTTCAAGAAAGGAACAGGAAGGACTATTTTGTAACACCATTAACTAGTGAAACAAACTTAGCGATGCTTTATTTGTAGTTATACTTCAGTAAACGAAGGGTTCCAGGGAAATCTTAGCAGGGGGGCTAGAGCTCATAAAAAAATGATTGGTTGAAAACTACTAAGATAATCTTTGATAAATACAGATGCTTGAAAAGAATTGTAAGTCATGAATTAAGATCGCATAAGAAATCCTTGTTATAATGCATACTAAAACTATAGGGGTTTGAAAAATCAGAAGTTCTGTACATTTAATAATAACTGTAAAAGATGGAAAATAGGGTGCTTTATAATTATACATAGGATACGAAAAATTATTTTTGTCAACAAAGTCATGATTATGACATGCATCACAACAAGTTAATATTAATTTGGTTTTATGACATGGAAAAATCACATTTAACAATAAAAATCTTCAATAAATTTATGGTAGAGGATAATTAAACTTATGCTTAGAAGAATCAATTAGTTCCACGTCATGGAGATCTCCTATAGAAGTAATTTATTTTGCAAGAAAATCAATGGAATAGCATAAAGGGCAAAAGAAAACATATTCATATAAATATTTTTATTGAACTTGAGAAGAAATCATGTACCCACAAGAACTGCTTTGACAAAAAAATTGTGTGCAGGAGGTATGATGCATGCAAACTAGAAAGGAAATGTCAAGATAGGAGAACACTGGGACAATTAAAACCAAAATCGATTCAATCTAGAATGCAGACATTCAAACAAACATCAAAACAAACGAAAAGTCGAACAAACGAAACAAAATTATAAAATAAAAACACTATCATGAGAACAACCGGCAAGCGGTTTCCTCACATGCAATGAAATGTAGGTAAAATATGAAAAGTGTTTAGAGCTTGCAAACCAATGGTCCACCACAGCAACAAGTTCCAACGTCCAACCAAACTCCTCCAGCAAATGTCACCAAATTCTACCAACAAACACCTCCAATAGCTCAAGAAGAAGGATGCAAGTGGAGTGGAACTTGCGTAGAGAAGAAGAGATTAGAAGCCAAGACGAAATAAAGAGGAAGAGATAGTTGGAACAAACTCTCAAGCTTTTCCAAGAAAGGAGAAGAAACCCTCAGGTTTTTAGAGACTTATCTCAAGATAATCAACAACCTCCTCATGACAAATACATCTCTAATTTATAAGAGAAAAGGGGGAGCCAAACAGCCAACTTCCACCTCCAACCGAACCAATCAGGTAAGGGGAAGAGGAAGGCCAACAGGCAAAACAAAACAGCACCAGAAAAAGGCAGCACAGGAACTGGGTAAAGCAGCCACGAGAAAGCAACCAAGGAAGAAACCGAAAAGACAACACAGGGGACCGGAGCCAGCACCCAGCAAAGGGAGGAGAACCGGCCACGGGAAACAACACCAGGAAGAAACTGAGGGGTCACAAAAAAGGTGAAGAGGCAAGTTCCAAATCCACATAATGAGCTAAAAGAAAGAGTATCTTTTCAAATTAATGAGCTAAATAGTGCAATAACTCTTCCAAATAATGAGCTAAACATCATCTCAAGCAATAATGAGCTAGGACCAAGTAGCTCCCAAATTTTCAGCTCAAAACCAAAGCAGTCAAGGCCCATCGGAGAGCGGCCAAGGCCCAACCCGAGAGGCAACAAACAACCCAAAGACCAAAAGAACCCAAGAAGCTAGCACACCCAAGGCTTGCCATGCCCAAGCACTACCTACTCATGATCATTGGATGATCTCCATCATTGGATAGCATTAAAAAAAAAACATAAAAAATAACTATAATATTCAAATTACAATAAAACAAAAATAAACTAAAATATGCATGCATCAAAGTACGTTGAAGTTATTAAAAATTACTATGATAAAGCATTGATAGGCCTTGAAAGTAGTTGAGTAACCAAAATGTTCCTCATCACAGTTGCATTAAATCAATAATCAAGATTAAGATTGAATGTTTTTATATTATTATGAAGATGCGTACAATAGATACTCAAAATAAAGTGCTTCGATGCATGCTCTTCATAAATGATAAAACTCTACACAATTAAACCTCTTCTACCGAAATAGGTAAGAAAAATAAAATAATGGAGGAAATTTTAAGAAGATAAAATAAGAGAGACAAGTGAAATAAAAAATTTTATATGATATACAATTTTACCAGTCAGAAATCAATAAGCATGAGCAAACACAACTATAAGATCAAGTGATACCTAGATCTAATAAGTTTTTCATCTATTAGCGAAAAACAATAATGAGCATATAGATAACAATGACATAACTTCTATATTTAAGATAGTATGGTTAAAATGGAAAAACAACTGGGAAATATGCATGAAAAGAGAATATCATGGGAACCTAAAACTGAATTCTATAAAACATCAATTATTCGCTCAGAAAAAGATGGCACTTACCATTATGAACCAAGCTTCCTATGCTTAAAGTTCCATTTTTCCCTGAGGTAGATTGGATGTTAATTAACCATATTTCCCCCCATAATTATATCGGGGTTTATTTAGTTATGGGTTCCTACTTCCTATGAGGGCAAGCCCCCATAATTAATTACCCCTCCTATTGCATAGAAGAGAATTCCTGATTAAGGATAAATTAATTTTTAGATGTGCAAGATTTTTAATCTTGATCGTGGAGGATAGAGATAGACCTGATCAATATCACATGGTTTCGTCATCTCGGGAATATCGTAGGTTTCAGTCTGCCAACACTAACAATTGTTGATCATAGCATCCAGGGTCTGATTAGCAGCCATGGATTGCCTCCTCTCAAGGATCCCAAGTAAACTAAAGTGATTAGATGTGGATTTTTGTGTTATTATGGTTTGATTTGGCTTAGGGCTTACGGCTCTACTTAGGAGTTGCCCGAAGGTTTAAGTTTAGGTCAGGGCTTATGGCTTCATTTAGAAGCTACTAGTATGTTCGGGTAGATCTTATGGCTTCCCTTCAAAGTGGCTTGAGTTTTGGGTTAAAAGCGGGTCTTACTACTTAGCTTGAAAATAGCCCAGTTTGAAAGTGGATAAGCCTTATGGCTTCTACATTTAGAAGTGGCCTGATTTTGGCTTAGGGCTGGTTACTTTCGCTTGGAAGTTTCCCTAGCATGTTAATTAAGTGTAGAGGTCTTATTGCTTTCATTTAAAGTAGTCCGTGTTGTTTGGAAGTGGGTCTTATTGTTTTCATTAAAAGTAGCCCGAGGTTTACTTCACTAGCAAGTTTTCTTAGTGTGTTAATTAAATCTCGGTCTCACTGCTTCACTTGGAAATAGTTCATGTGTTATCAGGGACATGATATCTGCCATAATAAGTTTTCCCTTCTACCCTGATTGAAGTAGGACTTACGACCTCTATTAGAGGTTTCCTATCGAACTTAGCTTAGCGAGGATTTTGCTGCAAACACTTAGTTTTGTACTTTTCACTATCTCGACGTTAGTCCTAGGGTTTTGATTAAAACAATAGCATCTTTACGTAAGCAATTGGCTTCTAGTACTGTATAATATAGTTTTGCTTCTGCCAACAATGTTTGACTCACACTACTAGCTCTTCTTACTTATTATGTTTCAATACTAGTTTTGCCTATAATAAAAGTTTCACTTTTCAATATTAGTTTTTTTACCACTCTGCATTGACTTTTATTTACTTATTTGCAAGTATTCTTGGCTTCCACGGGAGGGAGTTTACTAGTAGCTGGAGCTTACCAGGAGCTAGAGCTTTCTAGAGTTTTGCTAAGGGTTTTAGTTTGTTGATTTAGAGTTCTGTAGTTTTCTTTATTTTATGTTGGTGTTTTAGTGTTCTAGTTTTAAGAGTTTGAGTTTTAGTTGGTGTTCATTTTACTTAGGTTTGTTTAGTATAAACATTAATTTTCTTTCCTTTTATTATTATTATTATTATTATTATTATTATTATTATCATTTGATTTTATTTTTTTAATTAATTATTAAATTAATTGTTTAATAAGATTTTTAAATTGATCAATTACTCAATTAAATAAATTTTATTAGAAATTGATTAATCAAATAATTAAATGAAAGTTTAATTCAATTTTAATTAAATTTAACTTAAAATTGATTGGTTAATTAAATGAAATTTAAATTTATTTTAAAATTAATAAATTATTCTCCAATAGTTTCTAGAAATTCGGCAATATCCCAGAGCAAATTTCGCAGCTTTCTGGGGCAATTTTAACAATCTCCCGACATCCCCTCCTAGCGAGGGGAGGTCGGGAGGGCACTTGCCCTTTCAAACCCGCCCAGCCAGATAAAATTCGACGATCGAGGGCTTCAAAATTAATAAATTATTCTCTGATAGTTTCTAGAAATTCGGCAATATCCCAGGGCAAATTTTGCAGCTTCCTGGGGCAATTTTAACAACCTCCCGACATCCCCTCCTAGTGAGGGGAGGTCGGGAGGGCACTTGTCCTTTCAAACCCGCCCAGCCAGATAGAATTCGACGATCGAGGGCTTCAAAACGATGATGGGTCCCGGAATCGGTCTTCAAGTCCTCCAGCGAAACATTATTTTGTAATTTAGCGTTTCCCCGAGATTTCGACAATCTTACATTGCCTCCTCCCTATGAGGGGAGGTTGGGGAGGGCCCTAGCCCTTTCGATTTGCCTCCTTTTCGGTTCAATAGGATCCGGATGTTAACCATACATTCCCGGTCCGCGAACCAAACCGAACCTAATTGGCTGGATATAATTCGACAGGCGAGGGCTACGGGGAAGAATCGACACTGGAATAAGTCTTTGATTTTTTTATTAAGCACATGTTAAGAAAATTTTAAAATTTGGCGCTTCCTCGGAATTTTGACAAGCTTTCGGTGCCCCCTCCCCCGAGAGGGTAGATTCGGGAGAGCACTCGCCCTTTCAAGTTCGTTCGATCGAATTAAAATCGATGTTCGAGGGCTTCGGGGCAAGAATAAACCTCATAATCAATCTTCGGCTCTTCCATTGAGTGATTGCGGCGACTCCCTTTATTATTATTATAGGGGTGTCAATATTGGACCCGACCCAAAAATTTCGATTTTGGGTTGACCCGAACTTGAAATGGGCCGAGTTCAGGTTGAACAATTCGACCCGTTTCAAAAATCGGTTCGGGTTTGGGTTGACCTGTTGACCCAAAATTGACCTATTTTGATCCATTTTTTACCCTGAAAACTAGCAATTTTTTGTTGGCATTATTATAGGGGTGTCAATATTGGACCCGACCCAAAAATTTCGATTTTGGGTTGACCCGAACTTGAAATGGGCCGAGTTCAGGTTGAACAATTCGACCCGTTTCAAAAATCGGTTCGGGTTTGGGTTGACCTGTTGACCCAAAATTGACCTATTTTGACCCGAAACCTATTTTGACCCATTTTTTACCCCGAAAACTAGCAATTTTTTGTTGGCACCGGGTCATTTTGGTCGGGTTGGGTTCGGGTTGACCCAAATAGTGCCGGGTCAATTTCGGGTTCGACCCGAACCCGACCCGTGAATCGGAATTGACACCCCTAATTATTATTGGTATTATTATTATTATTATTATTATGGGAGGGAGGCAGAGTCGGCACTCAAGCTCGGGTTGGATGGTTGGATCGGGAGGGTCGTGTGCTATCAAAGTTGGACAAAGGCAGCTTCAAGAGGCTTATGAGACTGGAACAGGAGCAGGGAGAGAGTTTAATTGAGGGCTTGGGAGCAGAGGTCCGCTTCGGCTTCCTTGCGTGCGAGAGAATTTGAATGAACTGTGTGACGAGAGGGAGAGGGGGTTCAAGAGTTATGTCGTTTACGAGCGATGTGGGTTAGATGTGGGTAGTGGAAGCCAATTGAAGTGGGACCATGGATAGGTTAGAGGTCAACAACAACCAAACCGATAATCTTTATATAGCTCCAACTGCTAGACAATAAATAAGCCAATAACAACCAAATTGACTGTAGCTAAAATAACATTACTAGATGTGCAACAAAAAATATGAAGGTTAGATTGACAAATTATTTTATGAAAGGGGCTATGGGTTAGCATCTATTAAAGATAAGAAATGGAAAATTAGTGATTTGGGCGCGTACAATAGAGGTTAGAATATACATAAATAATATAGGTAGATAAAAATAATGGGAAAGGATTACAAAGAAAAAAGAAGACTTAAAAGTGACATGAATTGGAATTACAAAGTTTTAGGTAAAATAAATTTAACACATCAAATAACACCCAAATAAAAGGAGGAAGAATAAGAACTCAGAGTCAATAAAATAGTTAGGATGAGGATAATGATGATGATGAGCTCAATAGGCTTAAATAGCACAAAATCAAATTGGTAAATAAAAAAGTATTATGCATTTCAACAGAAAAAAATATTATAAACATGCTGCTAACTAGGAAATTTCTGTTTCTGATATTTTAAGCATATTAAAGAAACGTAAAAGCCACAACAGGCTATAAAGGTTACAAAGCACCTTGGATTTCATAAAAAGGTGCATTCAAGGACACTAGCCTTTGCAAATATTACGCACACAAAATGTTTACCTTGTTCACTATAATCCTATCTGCATATGCAATTTGCTCAACTGCTTCATTTACTACACCATCAGGTTTTTTCTCATCCAAATGAATTCCAACATGCTTTGAATCAACAAGAGTAACAACACCATCCAGCTTGACGTCATTGAAAATCTTATCCTCAGCATAAAATGTCTGAATAATTGGTGACGGATTAGCCAATCCTGTCAAGGGGTGTAACAAATTCCAATAAGGAAAAAACTTCACATAAAGGAGCACTACGAGGATGCATTCGAACTGCAGAAACAATTAGGAATAAACCTGATTCAGTATAGAATTAGTACCTGCACATAAGCAAATACAAATGATGGAAAAGAAAAGAAATAACAGTAAAAAATATTCTTAATTAAGATAACAAATTATATAATAAAGACTAAATATTCACTAATTAATAACTTTCAATCTAATAAATCTCTAAGATAACACTCCCCCACAAGTTGAAGTATTTATCAACATGAAGATCCAACTTGCCGCAAAGCTTAGAAAATCGAAGTGGCCCTGAGCCGCTAAAAAATTTATATGTTAATTGATCTTAGCTTAAGACATGAATGATGATTCTTTTTATCGTAATTGCTTTTTTAATGAAACAACAATCTACTTTAATATATTTTGTTCTTTCATGAAAAATATGGGGATACTAGTAATATGGATAATTTCCTATTATTTACCCTTTAGAATGATTGGTTAACTAGAAAGTCAAACTATTCAATCAGGTTTTTTATAATCACTCTATTTCAAAAATGTAATGCACCATAGATCTATACTGAACAATCTGCTATTTACTTCTCAGTGAAATAAAATTTTCTCCCACATAAGCACAATCTGCTATTTACTAGTAATATGGAGAAGTGTCGGTGCATCTTGTCCAAGATCGCATCTACAATTTCGCATCCATTCTCCATGTATTAGATCATTGTCCATGTATTTTTCCAAGATCACATTGTTAGCATCAAATCTGGGATTATTGTTACAACTATCACGTATGACATGTATTCCATGCCATTTCTAGCGAATCTTTACTCCATCTTGGTTTTCGTCCTCAAAAGGGCATTGTACTCTAAAATACATAACTCAGAACCAATTTCGACCAATAGTGCAGTAATGCAAATTTAATCAAACAAGATGATCATGAAGGACACTTCCTGACATCTAAATTGAACAGAGAACAAATTGGAGCAAAAATTAAATCCTAAACTCATTATGAAAGAGCAATCGATGAGCAATTAAAGCATGTTGTTGGGCTGGCCCTAGTCAACAGGAAGCAGGTCAAACCCCCTCCTATATGATTGCCGCCTAAGCCGTGGGCCCCACAGGTCTATTTAAGGGAGGCGGCTAGGTTAGGAGGGAAAGAAAATTTGAATTCAAGTAAATTAAGCTTTAAATAGGCATGAGAGGCTAGGGTTAGGGTTTATGTTGATTATTGTTTCTCTTGGAGTTCTCGTTGGTGGTTTGGGCTCTCAACGTTTCGTCCAGAGATTGAGAGAGAACGATCATCCTCTTAAATTGAGGATCAATTGTATTATTGCTTTATATTTGCTTTGCTTTGATTTCCCTAATACAATCTATTGTCCTGGGTTGATGTCGTTGGCGTTCTTGTGTTCTTTCTCGTTATTTTTACCAATTTATCGTTAGGGTTGCTAGCGAACTCAAGTAATTTCGATAGGATTACTTGCGAACTCAAGTATTTCCTATCAAATTTGTATCAGAGCAAGTCTTGGAACTGTTGGTGGGTTGATTTTGGCGAATTTCAATGGCAGAATTTTGGCAGATGAAGGAGGAAGTTCCTATTTTTGTGATCCAAATCCATATTTTTTTAATCTAGAAAAATCCGGATAGAGATGGTGGCCATGAAAGTGGATGCGCTGGAAGAAAAACCTAAATGGGAGATGAACCAAATCAAGACAACGGTGGAGGGCAGGATTTCATCCATGGAAGACCAAGTTGCCGATCTCCGGGACATGATGAATAAAATGTTAGAAATCCACAACCAAACGGCGGCTTCAGTGGCAAAAGGGTTAGAAGGGAAGAACACGAATTCTGAAATTCGTAGGGAGGAAAATAAGGTGGAGATCATGGAGGGAGAAAAAAGAAAACCCTATCTGGAGCCTTTCCAGATGGAGGATAGAGGAGGTAGGTATGGGAAAAGGCATGTGTATGGGGGGCGGAGCAAAGGGATGCTGATTGGGAACACCGGGAGGGATATTATGGCCACCGAGGTGCTGAATTTGAATGAAGGATAGGGGAATTCGAAGGGGGTTTGGAATTATGACAGGGCAATGGAAGATTGGGAAACGTAGGGAGGGCCAAACACTTGGGAGAGATGCAGTTATGGAGGAATAAGGGGAAATGGGGGAGATCAAAAGGTGAGGAAGTTGAAGATGCTCATATTTGAAGGGAATAATGCATATGGGTGCATTTATAAGGTTGAAAGGTGCTTCGTCGTCAATGGGCTAACGAAGGAGGAGAAGCTAAACATCATTCACAGCACAATATTGCAAGCTCATGAGCTAAGGAGAAACTATAGAAGAGTGGGATGTGCAAACAATTGAAGCTAAACAATTGGAGCACAAGATTGATTAATTGGAATTGTAACCAAATAAACTCACCACATGCTTGGTCACCAAGTGATTAACTCAAAGATTTCTTCAAGTGCCGGTCAATCTTTGTTCTCTTTGCTGATATCCTCATTGTTCTAGAAACAATTAACAGCTTGAAAGATTATAGTTAAAAGGATGACCACTGCCTCCATTGGATTGACAGGTAGTTAGACCTTAATTTAAGACCGTTGTAAGAGAGGGAGTAATGTCTTGAATCTAATTGGGATATTAAAGAGGATGCTTAGCAGTTAACCAAGTTAATTAGTTTGAGTAATTGACATTAATTAGCATTGTACTCTATAAATACTCCCAAATAGATAGGATGATAAACATGAAAATGAGCGAATGAATTTTCCTTCACCTATCTAGTTCTATTTTCTTTTCTTTTTGGGGCTTGAAATGTTCACTTTGGGTCAGGGATCGTATCAAATTCTCATTGTGAGCTTCTAATGCCACAATCTCTGATGCAAGTTAACCTTCTAATGCCATTATAAATTTATGTATGGAACAGAAATGAAAAGAAATATGGCTTTCAAAAAACCGAAGTTGGAAACGAATTTGCATTACATTCAGGGAACAACCCACCAAACGTATGTCTATCAAAGAAAAACTACAACAAATGAACAAATAAATTGTGAATAAGATATCCAATACCACAGGAAGGGAAAACAGATCAGAGAATCAGCAAAAAGCTTCAATTTATGTGAATCATTGCTAGATCAAATTGCACAAAACAGAAGCTGTTCAGTGAGACTGAAACACAATTAATAATAATAATTAATTCACATGTTAACGTAGGCATGCAGCTCCAAAAAAACATTTTACCTGTGGTCTCTATTACAATATGATCAAATTTCCCTTTTTTCTTCTCAATCAGCTCAGAAATCATTCTTACAAGATCGCCTCTTACAGTGCAGCAAAGACAACCATTGTTAAGCATAACTATATCTTCAGCTCCAGTAGTTTTTGCAGCCACCAAAGAACCATCAATATCAATTTCTCCAAACTGAAAATAGAAACATATGATGATCTAAGTGGGTTAGAAATTAAAATCTCAAATACTGCAAGTAGTAACTTTCAAGGTATTACTAGTAACTTGGGTTGAGCTGTCAATTGCACAGGAAACTGTATTTAAAACAACCAATAAGAAAGAAATATGAAACCAACTCAATCAGACAAGCTTAAGAAAACAAGTCAAAAACAATTTACAATTTCAATTTAGAAAGCATTTTATTTTGAGCAATTAGATCTCTAACGGAAATCAAAGTTGCATCTAGTCCAATTTCCAGGTTATTCATTTTGCTTCGGTCCATGATTTCTGTTAATTCTTGTTAATTCCGTTTCCGCTCCTAAGCACCTAAAATGTTTTTCAAGCAATTTTACCTCCTTAGTTGCAGATAGATGAAAACATTAAAAAAAAACATCTTAGGTATGTTGAGGACCTTGGAAACACAAAAAGAAAAAATTTAGAAACATAAATCGGAAGCAACCAGATAAACTTATTACCCAAAAAGCTCTTAGTATTGGTATTTTAAGTAATTACATAATACATTAGTGGAAATTTATTGTTATTATTTAGTGATCTCTCCAGCTCACTTGTTCATCCCCGACCCACCCACCATCCCCCCTTTCTTGCTCGTTCCTTCTTCCATTCTTTGATTCTTTCTATATGCCCCATCTCTCTTTACAACGAGAAAGAACATAAAAATAAGAGAATATATATTTGTACGTGCTTGTGCTGATTATGTTAGTCATTTGTATAAGTGTTCATGCACCTACCACCAAATTAAACTTTTTATTTGAAAATTTATTATATGCTTACATTACTTGTTAAAAACGTTTAGTTATAAACAGGGAAAAGCTCAAAACATACTAGTATGCATTCATTTCAACATTTCAAATTTGATTAATGCATGGCATAAAATAGAAATGCCAAGCACACGAATTGCAAGCCAAACGCCAAAAAAATAACACTCTTAGCTCGGTATGGTACATAGTAGATTCTCACGTTGTCTCCTTTTTAACCTGAAAATAAAATTATTGCACATGAATGACAAGAATTAGACTATGAAAAATTCTTTCAACATGATTAATAAACAATCAGGATTTTCTCGGAACCAAAACATCCAGCTCTTACAATAAATGAACAGCACAGCTATGGAATAGCGAATATTAAAGTGTGCTATATTTCAAAGTAAAGGACCTAGAAATTAGGCGACGAAGTTCATAAAAAAACACAAAATATACCTCATTCTCGATAACAGCAATGTGCTTTCCATGGTCAGCAGTCAAAATATGGTTTAACAAGGTTGTCTGCAGAAAAGATCAAAAGAATAACGCAAACCTAATTAGTCAAATTATAACCTTTAGGGTAAACAATCAGAAAAAAATCACATGGTCATATATAATGTCTACCGTCCCTACAAACATTTGAATGGATTTATTCGATTGACATTTGTGCACCATTAGTCCTATTTTAGAACAACTAGTTCACCTAAGGCAAAACAAGCAAGTTTGCACTTCAAGCTTGTTTACAAGCTAGAGATTTTTCATTGCTTTGAAAAAGAAAAAAAAAACAACGCTTTCACCATATAGAGGACAGCTGCAAAAGAAAAACAGTTCAACAACGATATTAAGATGAGATGACGACGACAACATTGAGCATTTATCTCACTACATGAATCTTTTATCTCTATTATATCTTATTAAGAGTCAAATCCTCATTTAAATCTAATAAAAAATATCATTTCTAATACTTTCTAACCAAGATTTTAAGGTCTATCACTATCTTTCTTAAATAGGCCGGATCTAATATATCTATTCTCCTAATCAGGTGATTGGAATGCCAACATTTTATGATATGCACGCGTGAAATAAGACTAAATAAAAAAGAAATATAAGAAGAGACGCTCATGCAATATGGTAAAAAATCAGTTCCGAGGTTGCTTCTCCTGAGCACGCCACTTTCAACTACCACCAGAGGCAACTTCCTCTGTTGTAAATCCTCTATTGTAAATCCTTCTCATAACTTTGACACTCAGCTGGACAAGACCACCATCTTCTAACTTTACCGTATCCAAAACAAGATGTCAAAGCTAGTGAGGCAGGTACTTGGCATTCTTGATGAGGCACTTGAGCTCTTGCGCAAACAACAGCAAATCACAGTACTCTCAAACAATCATCCAAAGAATAAAACTCCGCCTCAGTTGCAACGAGCCCCTGGAAAATTATTAAGTCTTGATGCAACTCTTCACCCTCTCAAGAAACCCCGACATTAATTCTGATGAGTTATTGGCAAGGGAAAGCAAAAACTAGCTCACTGGTTGCATGGCCTTGGGAAGCTCAATAATGCCAGATGCATACTTCCTTAGTTCTATTAGTATATGAGCAAAGATATAAGATAGTATTCTCATCCTGCTGAATTGTATCACCCTCGGGTAAAGTATTTATAGAAAAGAACTCATCACAATTTGTGGTGTTGGTGGGAGCATCTTCATGGAAGAAGATGAGTTTGTGGGGGTTTTGGAGAGGTTAGAGGATAACTGGGGTTATGTTTTTGTGGTTTTATGAGATGATCGAGGACTATATGATTGGATGGAATCATTATGTAGAGTTAATGAGGAGATAAGGACATGTCCACGGGTGTTATTACACTTGGCTGAGTGATGCGGAGGTAATATTAGGGATTATAAGGCTATGGATGAGTTATGGGAGAGAGAGGAAGCCTTATGGAACTTAGATTTTCAGAAGAAGGAAAACCCGAGCAATGGCTTTAGGATTTTGATTGAGGAGATGGAGGTTGGTGGATATGAATTAGTCGGAGGTTACTTTATTGTGAAGGAAGAGAGAGAGGCAACTAAGGATAAGATCTGAGTGTTGACCAAAAGTTGGGATGAGAAAGAGAGTGAAATAAACTAACAAGATAACTAAGGAACTTATCAAAGTTCCTCGTGAATCAATCCACCATGCCTTAACCAAAATTTGCACATGAGCAGACAACTTTAATGATTCACTCTACCCATTCCAAGGGTTAAATAGCGCTTAAATAGAGCAAAAGAGAATATACTACATGGAACAATTCATGAGGGATTGATTCAATGGATTTGCAAACTCATTTATAAATCTTCAAGTGGTCAGCAAAAACTTTTGGAGGGAAAGTTAATTGATTTTTATCACAAATTGCTGCATAGAAAGTAGAAGGGGCCAACCAAACTAGTTTGGAAGGAAGAGTGTTCTTGATTAGTGCATATTTTAATCGATGTATATATCCTTGTGATGCATCAACCCACCATACCACAAAGAACTCTACTTCACGGAGTGAAAATCAACATAGCCATCCACATGGTATGGCGCAAACTTCTTAATCTCATTGTCGGGCATCTATGTGTTTTGAAAAGGAGATGTATTATTTGTAGCGGTTGGAACTTCATCTGAAATAATGTCTTTCAATTTGTAGAAACTTTGGATAGAGAGGAACCTTAAATTATTGATCTTTATCTCCTACAAGTAAGGTTAATCTGTAAATCTCAAGAATTCTAATTCCTTGATATACCAAAATATCTTCTACTGTAAAAAATATGACTAATAAACATGTGCGGAGGACATTTTTAACCAAGCTCTCCTCTCTTCTCATTTTATATGTTATTTCTCTCTTTTATTGTAATTTCTATTTTTTTAATAATTCCCTCAAAAGAGACCCTTGAGATAACCTTACTCTATAAATAGAGAGCTACCTCCTCTCTTGTATTCAGTATTTGGAGATTGAAAAATACTATATTTTCTTTCTTAAGTTTCTTTCCTGTGTCCTAGCCAAGCCAGGTGGTAGTTCCCTTCTTCCCCAACCTGAGATAGGTTGGATCTTTTATTTTCTTCCTTCCCCCTTCATCAAGAGCCCTGCAAGACTACTGTCCACCATGCTCCCAGAGGCCTACAATTGTTGGCCACTGGCTAAATGGTGCTTGCACCTCCTCTAGCTGCCATTCTGCTGCCTACAGCTGCTGGCACCATTTCCCCTTCTCCTTGCTGTCGTTTATCCCCATCTATCTCGAAATTGGACCCAGAAGTGCTATTCACCATTCACCCCATTTCCAGGCCACCAACCTGCTGTTCCTTCCCCTCCAGCATAGGAATGACAATCTTTCTTCATTCCTACAGCCAACAAGGACTGTTCTACTGCAGTCCGCTGCCCTGCTCAGCAAGGGAGGTGTCCAACCTGTCTACCTTTCCTTGCAATTTTCCTTTTGTGGGTCATTCCAATATCACTAAGTATAATCACAAATTTATTAGTTATTAGCAATCTTGATCTTTGCAATTTTTTCTGCCATCCAAATTTCAAATATGTTTAAATATTTAGGAACTTGCATGTTTCTTTGGTTCGAAGAAAAAAGTAGAACCATGTAGCCTTTTTATAGAGTTAGGACAGTAATTTCATTTAGTTTTCACCATGTTAATATAGTTCTACCAATTCCTTATTCCTTAACAAGTATGTTGTTTCGAGATTCAAGTAGATTTTAGCATATCCATTCATTTTGACAAAAATAACTCTTTGAATCATCCATATTATATCAATCACAAAATTCATCTATCCTGGTTAGTCAATCTATGAATTTGTTTGGGTCACAAACTGATGGGGACATCAGCAGCGATTTCGACACATGTACCTTCAGGAGATGTCGGAGATCGACGACCACGATCATGATCTGTATTTTCATCATTTTATGTAGTAGTTTATTTTTATTTTATGTTTTTTCGTTTCGGCCTTCCCTCCCCACAGCTTCCACGGCCACCCCACACCAGCCGTCAGCCAACCTGCTTTCAAAATCTGAAATCCAATTTCAAAGCCTTAATTTCTTTCCTATTCTACATCCCCCTCAAATAGGAAAGTTGGTCTTTTTATTCCTTTTCATTTAACAGAAAAAAAAAATTCAACGTTTCTAAAGGCCCAAGGTATTTTAGGAGATATTCCCAGCAGAGCAAATATGAGAATCCAATTTCAGATTTGAAATTCCGAAAATTCCAACGTTTCTAAATGCCCAAGCTATTTTAGGAGATATTCCCTGTAGAGCAAATCTGAGAATCCAATTTCAGATTTGAAATTCCGTGAGTTTCTTTGAGGGCCCACGTCATTTATTTTAAATACTCCCTCAGCTCTTCATGGGGCCAGACACCTCCTCATCCTCTTTTCTCTCTCCAATTACAATCATTACTCCCCATTAACTCCCTTAATCCCTCACATAACTGCTGCCACCTTCCTTTGGAAATTGTTTTTGAATTTTCAAAGAAATTTCCCCTCCACGTTTCCTCACCAGTTCGGTTTAAGAAATCTGAAAATTTTCCTTCAGTTTTCTCTCCTACCCGAGCTCCTCTCTGCCATGGGTTTGATTTTCCTCACCAATTCTGCATGATGGAAATTTGCTGTCCAGCAGATTTCTGCAGGTCCACACTAGCTGGACAGCTCCAGAAGGCAACCCATTGCTGTCCAGACCTCTCTTGTCTGCTGTTTTGCATTTCACGCACCTGAAATCTGCTGTTTAGGAGATCGGGAACATGCTTTCTTGCTGTCCAGCCCGCTATAAGGTCTTCAAACACTGTCCAAACATTCCAGACCGCTGAACACACCTTTAAGAAACCGCTGTCAAGAATTCCATACTCCGGTCACCTATCCAAGAACGACGATCTTAGGCTCCTTCTTCCTCGGGGTGACCTCGGTTCTAATGTGGAGACTCTTCTTCCGCTAAAGCCTAGACTAGTTGAGCGTATGGAAAAGTGAAAGTTCTCATTATTAAGTCATGGATTCTTGTGTATCGTCGTAGTTTTACATTTACTCTTTGTGGTTTCTTAAATCGTTTGGGAATCGGATTTGCTCTTCTCTGTCTAAACAAGTTAAAAACCAAGAATTCTAAGGATTAATCATTGTTATAAGTAATAAACTTATTGTGGGATTATTTTGTTAAAACTGCTCTCTTTAATTTCCTTAAAGTAACTCCATCGCATGTTTGTTTTACATCACAAACACAATTAAAAGTAATGGCTTCATTATTTATTTTACTACAGAGATCATCATAGGCCTTAATTTCAAATATAGGTTGGAGTATTTGCAGTCTCCAATTAAAATTGTCATCTTCTAATGAGGAAAATCAAGTTAGTGTTGGTAGCAGGTGAGGTTTGACTTATAAGTGTTAAAAGTTGCATTTGTTTCTTCTTCCACATTGCTCTTAAGATCTCAGATTTTGCAAATTTTGAACTTTGTCATCGGTGCCTGTTTTTAAGTATGTAACAGTTTGATGCAAGCTGTCAAATTGATCTAAAGGTACTGATCATAAGCCATGATTATAATCACATCAAATGCAATAAAAGTGCTTTTCAAATAAAAAAATGCATGATGCGATAAAATGGATGCAAAGTGGTTTGAAAAAATGGCCTTCAACTCTTCAAGCACTTATTTTATTATTTTCAACAAGCAAAATAAATGGGTAATCACTAAAAATTAAAAGCAAACAACAAGTAATGTAGAACTAGATGCATATGTAAATATCCAATGTTAAAATTAAATGCCTTAGATTAGAGCAACAATAATTATTCTAACTTTAAATATAATTATTCAATATTGTAGCATCTTCAAAACACTTAAGCTCAATACACTAATAATGGTAAAATTTGCCACAAGATTTGCAATAAATTCATGTACTATGTGATAGTTTTATTAACTTGTTTCATTGTACATGACTTGAATTTGATTTCATTCACTTGCACCGCAACATGAGCCTTTGAATATGTCAATCAGCTAGCATCACAAATCTCCTTAGCCTTTGAATATGTCACTCATGAATATTCAAGTATGCTGCCTAAATATTCTGTTGATCTTCACCTGTGTGTGTAAGGTCTTTCTTGGAATACCAACGAGTGTTTAGACATATTAAAAAAGCATGAAGAGGGTGAAGAAAACAAATAATGACAAACACTAAAAAGATACATCCTACGTTGCAGTGACAATATGGGTATGAAAATTGCAAACTAGGCTTAAAGTTGTGCCTTCTTGTTGTGAGGATAACTTTGAGGATGGCATATGGTGACGGAGAGCGATGGTGGTAAAACATAATGAAATCCAATGATGGAGGCAGATCTTTGAATGATGGAGGTGGACATGCAAATAGAAACATGATACTAAGATGATGATGATTCCAATTATGATAATTGTCAAATGTAATGAGGCCTAAGTAACAAAAATGGTGATGAAGGCCAAACGAAAAAACCTTCCCAAATTTAAAAATCTAAAGCTCTTATACCATATTAAATTGAGAAAAAATTCTGCTTCGTTAGATGTGCCTAGATGCGGCTTGTATATAAGAACATATTATGATTTCTAGGTCTAATTACACAAGAAATAAGAAATATAATACACTACAAAACAAGAAACTTGAATACACCATAAAATCACCTAAAATAATCAACATTCCTGAGCCTTTGCCCTCATTAGTCGCTCTCTTTGTGCACTCTTTTTTGTGATTGCCCCTTCCTATCATCCTCGTCTATCATTGTACTCACTCCATCACAGCCCTCAACTCATTGATGCCACCTTAAGATTTTTTTATGAAGGAAATTTTATTCTCACTCTTTAAACCACTGAACCCATTTCCCCCTGAATGTGCAACAATTTTTAGATAATCTTTTCAGGGTTGCATTAATTGAAGAATAGGACTTACGATATGCTTATCATCTGGTGATTAGACCCTCTTGGTTTTGTGGCATGCTTTAGGCTCTCTCTCTCTATCTCTCTATTGCTTTCAGCTTTAGGCCCCTATACTTGGCAGATGATGTATAAACCATAATAATATGTTATTGAATTATTTGACTTTAAGCTTTATTCTCAATCTACACTAGTAAGGTTGTCAAAGGCCCATGATTGATTGTCTTTATTGTACGTTGTGCTTTTATTTACATCCATTTTCATCACTTGAAATATGATTTTTGTGCAACTTAGGAAACATCTTATCAGAAGAGAAAACTCAAGAAAATATAACCAAGGTGACTTGCTTATCAAGGTGATAATGACAATGAATTGATTATCTTTATTATTAGTAGATTACTACAACATTGATTGAATTTACTGGAATTTATTGTACTCATATATTATGCTCTTTAACATCATATGCATGTAATCTATACCACCAACCAACCAAATTATATTCCATGTCAGCGCCCCAAACTTCTTAATTTTCATGCTCTTCATGTCATTTACATGCCTTATGGCGAGCCTATGTTTATGCAGGTTGGTGCAATTGAATTATTATGTAATTAACGTTAGAGCATAAATTTATATTTATGAAATCCTAGTAGATCAAATGTGACATTATTTTGCTTGAAATAATAAACCATTGGTCCTTTTCTTGAACTGTAACTTGAAAATAATATATTTTGAAGGGAAATGTTGCCGGTATGTTTGCCCTATATCCAAGTAAATTCAATCATTATTAAGTTCATGATCAAGATTAAGTTCCTCTAATAATACAACTCATATTTACAATACTAGAACACCGTGATAAGTTAATAAAAAATGCAAGATGCCAAAATTCAACCAACAGTTTTCTAAGCCTATCTCAATAACAATTATTCTTCTTCACCAACCAAAATTAACTTAACTTAAGTCTTCAGCTTTCCAGCACCTGGCCTAGCTTGCCTTAAAGCACAGCCAAAAACTCAGAGAGAGGAGTTTAACCGAAACGCCAACAAGCTAACATAAACGGGAAAAGGATACAATCGGTTCTTACTAGTGTATAGCAATCTTCTAACCTTTCCAGAGCCAAGAAAACCAGTTATAATGGTGGCAGGAATTCGATCATCCGGAGGAATCTTCGTCAGCACATCGGAGCTCTCCTCCGTCGTCGCGGCGCTAGTTACAAAACTGCGCAAGAACGCTCTCGAGCTTGCCAGCCCAGGAAGAACATATCGAAGGCTAGTCGCCTTCGACGTCGCTCTGTTAACTCGCACCGCAGCGGCGGCATATAGCCTCCTCGAGCCAGAAAACTGGAGCAGAAACGGTCTCCTTAAGTGAACAGCGTCGGCGGAGAACCGCTTGGCGACCCCGACGAAAACGGAGCCGATGTCGGCGGAAAACATGGCCATCGCCGGAGGTAAGAAGGCGACAGGAGAGGCTTATCTGTAAGACTGTAACCTTGGTTGCGACTTAAAGCCCCGTTTTTTTTGTTTTTTTTTTTTTTTTGGGAGATTTACATACATACCATCTTATACTATTCTATTTATATATTTAACACTTAAAAACTTTAATATTACATACATATCACTCTTAGTTTATTTTCATATCAAATATGAGTGATAGAAATGAAATATATGAGTGATAGGAAAGAAATATGAGTGGTATATTTGATATTAAAATAATATAGGGTGGTATGCATGTAATATTAAAATTTTGGGTGTTAGATAGGTAAATAGAATGTTATAAAGTGGTATGTATATAAATTTCCCTTTTTTTTTCCAGCACATTCGATCGGAGTACAAGGTAATTTATATTAAATGGTGATTTGATTGGATTAATTTAGGGATAAAGTATTTGGATTGTGGAAATATAAAATGATGTAAAGTATAGGAAATATAATATAAAATGAAATTATTTATTTTTAGTATAAATCAAATTATTTTGATTTTGAAATAAAATGGTTTATGTCACAATTTTGCTTGACCGTCACTCGTCATCGGTAGCGGTCGTCGTCCATTCGGTTGTCGCCACCATCGTCCCCCGCCATCACTGTTGGCACCTCTGCTGACTATGATTGTAATAAGGATGGAGCATGTGGAAGACTTGCATTTGGATGTGAAAGAAGTGAAGCATATGAGTATATCATGCCCTACTTCTCAAATCCTAAAATCATGAAAAAGATACGATAAATGCATGGATAGGAAGGGCAAAATGGTCTAAGAGTTCAGGCAAATTTGTGACTTTTTGCCCCTATCTCTCTTTAACAATATCAATGAGTTAATCTATTATAAAAAAAGAGAAGAGATTGCTAGATATACAAGTATTTGTATATACCCACTGATAATGATAAAATTGATATAATAATTAGAGTTTGTTAGTGGTTAGTAGCACAAATAATATAATATAAAATTTTACTCTATATGTTTAATCACACAATTTTATTCTTATTCTTACAACTTTTATTTAGTGCCCCCCTAGAGATATTTTCTGGCTCCGCCACTGCTCATGAGATACATGCAGGGGGGCACTAAATAAAAGTTGTAAGAATAAGAATAAAATTGTGTGATTAAACATATAGAGTAAAATTTTATATTATATTATTTGTGCTACTAACCACTAACAAACTCTAATTATTATATCAATTTTATCATTATCAGTGGGTATATACAAATACTTGTATATCTAGCAATCTCTTCTCTTTTTTTATAATAGATTAACTCATTAATATTGTTAAAGAGAGATAGGGGCAAAAAGTCACAAATCTGCCTGAACTCTTAGACCATTTTGCCCTTCCTATCCATGCATTCATCGTTTCTTTTTCATGCTTTTAGGATTTGAGAAGTAGGGCATGATATACTCATATGCTTCACTTCTTTCACATCCAAATGCAAGTCTTCCACATGCTTCATCCTTATTACAATCATAGTAAACCATAATCATGATCATGAGTCTTCCCATTTGTATGCAAAGTCATCATAATCCCAAACCATCATTTTATCTCAATGATTAATGTTGTCACAATCATGCCCTTGCTCTACAAATGCTCATCATGTTTATGATCAACATGCATTGGAAATATTTTGATCAATTTTTTTTTATTCCCCCATTTTATCTTAACTCAAAATAAATTAATTTAAGCTACATTTGACTCCCTTTTCTTATTAGTCCATTCATTGTAGCACTTTTGATGTTAATAATTTTTTTTTTTTGGGAATTTTTTTTAATATTTTTTTTTTTGATGCCTCGTGGTTGTTGTATCATTGTTCCATTCTCAATATCTTTGTTAGATAAGATACATAACATATTTCTTATAAAACATTTATATAATGTTTAATGTAATTAAATTCTAGAATGAATGCATTTATAAATGATGTCATCTTTGAAGGAATGCATTTATATAATATATTAAACATATAGTATAAAACATATTATGTGATTGAAATTGTAAGAGACATATGGCATGAGAGATGTCTTTAAGACATCATTTGCTTATTTCATTGGTCATACTATCTTAAGAATGGAAGACAAAAAACTAAAAAGTCAAGTATAAATGTTGTTTTTAACGTCGAGAGTTAAAGTCAATATCAATGACATGCATTAATTATATAAGCAATACGTGTATGTATTGATATTATTGGTGATGGTATGTCACGGTCGTCAATGTAGGTAGGTGACAATTATCAAAGTATTATATACTAGAAGTCCGTACTTAAGGGATGATTGTTGGATGACTATAGGTTGTCAATTATGGTAAATATTGTAGTCAAGTGAAGGTAATCAGATGATTGTTTTCCCACAACGATAATCAGAGGTAGGTGGTTGGAGGATCATAATCAGTGAGATGATGTTTGGAGAGCCATAATCAGTAAGCTCTAGTTAGAGGGCTATAGTTCAAAAATGATTGTCGAAGGAACTTAATCAAGTTAAGGTGTTTAGAGGATAGAGTGAAATGATGATGGTCGAAGTATTGTAGTATGGCAATTATGGTTACAGGGCCATAGTAAAGGCAATGTTGGTCAAAGGACCACAGTGAAAATGATGGTGGTTCAATAATGTTGTGGTAACAATGATCTGTCATTATTCTGATGATGGTGGTTTGATAATGGTCATATGATGGATGTCAAGAGGTCGTGCGTCGATGACAATCTAATGTGATGGATGGGCATTGGTCTGGATATTATTTCATGATTACACTTGAGCAACATGCTTGGATAAAGCTATAAATATTCAAGCATATGAGCTCTCTTGAATCTTAAACAAAGTTTCAAACATCCAACCACCCCACCTGGGCACAAATGTGGTTGGAGGACTGTAATCAAATGATAACAATCCAACAATGTAGTCTAACGGTGATCTAGTGATGACATTCGAGTCTTTAGCAATGGTGATATGATGGTGGTCCTACGATGATGGTTGGCAATGGAATGGATGTGTTTTAATTATGGTAATTGGGTATTAGTGCTCGGGTTGAGCTTTAGGATTATCCCCCCCCCCCCCCTTCTAACTACTCAAGCACCAATAATTAATCCTCCACATATAAAGAGAAGGGTCCTATTTAAAGATTTTTTATATTGGTATTTCTGAAAATATAACCAATTGCATAACACTCCATTAGATGACCCATATTGATTACCTCAATTATAAATTATTATTTTATCATTAAAGTGCCTTAATGACATTAAAATTAGATGATTGAGCATGATCACTGAAATGCTCGATTTGATTGTAAGCATTCAATATTTTAATGATATTTATTCATATAAATAAAATCCCAATATTTTGAAGCATGCTTTAAGTGATTTCTATAGGCACCTTTGGATTCAGACAGTAACACTTTTAATGTCATTAGATTCATCTCATCTGTACCTTCAATTTGACTATAAGTTTATTGAAATCAGATTTTGAATGGTCTTGAATTTGAATTTGGAAACTTCCAATTCAACTAAGCATCATGACTTGTGCCAAATTATTTGACCCCTATTTTTTCACGTTGAATCTCATGTTGCTAAAAAATGTATGGTTATGTCTTCTGAAAAACTTAACAAAATAAATTATTTGCTCTCTTATTACAACCCAACCTAACATAACATATATATCATAAAAGGTCATATTAGGTTAAATACGAGATAAAATTTTGCACAAGATATATTTGAAAGGAATTTATTTTTTATCATCCCAATTTATAAAAAAGAGCAAATAAGTCATCGATGTATGATAATAAAGAATTTAATTTAGGTTTAACATAATTTTATTATACATTTAGAAGCAAAAGGAGTAAACATAATTCCAATACCTTGAACCACCTTCCAATTAAAAGAGGAGTAAATGTATTTCCAATACCTTTAATCACTTTCTAGCTTCAACTTGACACAGTATGTTCGAATGCATAAGTTTGACATGTTAATTATTTATTGCAAACTTTTCTCTCCTGCATTTACACTGTAACACATATTAAATTTGTGTATAGTTGTACATTTCTTACTCGATCTGATAAAGGTAACCTCTTAAATTTCACTACTTTTATCACCCCTTGCATGTGCATGAGTGTTTTTCATGTGTGTGAGTGTTTGAATATGATTTGAAGCAGATATATATGTTATTTTGTATGAGGCACATTAGTTGGGTTACACTATTTATCTAGAAAGCAATAAAATGTACAATAATCAAAAAAGTATTTCTAGTGGCCCTGATTGAAAAAGAATGCATCATATTTTGTTTCTAAATATCAAGTTTGTTAGTTAATGAAAGTAAAACATCAAAGATTATGTAATTTTCTACAACTATTGACTATTCTAGAGTAGAAGTTGGAAGAAATAATGATGGTTTTGTGACACGCTAATATCTTAAATGAAATTTTTTTATTTATTTTTTATGTATTTAATTTTTAATTATCTTTTTCAATTATGTAACAACCAAATCATTGAAAACCAAAGCTAACTAATTACATTAAAAAATAACATAAAACATAATTATATTTACTATGGTCAATATTTACATTACGATTTAAAGTCCAAACACACACACACATAATAGCATCGTATGCTACAAAAGAATATAGGTAGAACAATAAATAAGGCAAAAGTTGGAAATAAAAATAAACTAGCACAAAACAATTATCATTACTTAGCTTACTTTGTAGGCTATTTACATTTGCCTGAAATTATATAAACCACATAATGGGCATACAAATCTAACAAGTAATCAAAACTTATTGCTTCATTCAATGCAAAATAAAATAATCAATATGTTTATTCCAATCAATGTCAACATCAATCAATAAGCTATCAATAAGTACATCAAACAATCTATGAAGTCAATATCAATCACTAGTAGAAATAATATAATAAGCAAGGCTAAAAGAGGTAAATGACACCATAATACAAATTGGTATAATACTCAATCAATATACCCTGTTGGTATTGATACGTCCTCAAAAATTTATCTTGATCGGGCACGAATCTCGATGAAAATCAAGTTGGAAACTTCCGA